TTCAGCAGTTGCAGGAGAAGGGTTATGGAATGATGAGTCATTGTTTCAGCCATTCAAGGACAGAACAATGTACCAGTGATAACTGTTCAATTTACTCCTTTGGTGCCTATTCTAGGAATAAATCTGCATGGCAGGAGGAAGAACTTCAATCTGAGTGTGATGTGCTAGGTCATGTATGAACATGACTTTATCATTAAAACATCTTTGGACTGTCTAAATATTTCCTAATTAAAAGAGTACTAGATGTTCTATATCAGACCTTGTTTTGCCTGGGGGAAAAGGAGCTCATTACAAAACCAAAGCAGGTGGTTGGGTAAGTGTGAGGGGTTGTGGTATAGCTGCACATGGTCAAACAGTTAGCAGACATATGGGATGGTTGCAGAAGGTCTAGTACCACAAAATGTAAAGCAAGTATGAGACAAATGAAGCAAGAGAAAGCAATTTAACAGAAAAAATATCTAATAACTCCAGCATATGGCAATTTTTTGTTTAATCTCATAATTGAGATAGAGAGGTCTTCTGGGTCAAATGATCTAGACTGATGCACAGGGGATGTGCAAGTAGGTTGCCAGCCACTCCTCCACACCCCGTGTAGGATATAGAAAAGGGAGATGTTGAAAGTAATTAAAAGCAGAAATGGGTCAGAAATTTCTTTAAGTAAACAGAAGGATGCAACAACATTTTATGGTCAGCAAGCTTGAGAGCAAAGATATGAACAACAAGACACAATTTTTTTTTTTTTTTTTGTTAGGTGTATACCAGGAAGAAAAGAGTCAACAATGGAAGAGTAGAGGGAGATGGTAAAATTATCAGCAGTGCAAAGAAGGTTGGGATTCAATAAATATTTTTAATTTTATGAGGTTTTAGGCCTTTTCCCCATCTTGCACAAACACAAGATGATTGGCATTGCTTTCTGCAATAATCTATTCTTTTTTTGCTACTACTCTTTGCTTGAGTGAATTGCTCAATATTGAAATTTTGGATTATGTCATAGGAAATGGATGTCACCAAACTGACACACTATTTTGGTTTGGCTTTAGTTTTTAAGGTAATAACATTGATATGGTGGATTTAGAATTGTATAAAGCATTTGACTTAACACCACAGCATGTTTTGGATAAGAAGCCTAGAAAGTCATCAAATCAGCTGGACACATTGAAGGAAGGAAACACTTGCTAACTGACAGGCCTCTAAAAATCTCATTACCTGATAACAAACCTTCTGAAAGGGTTCTGCAAGTAAGGGTTCTATGAGGATCATTCTTCTTACTGCCTGGTTTGCTGTTTAGTAATGGCCAAAAAAAGGATCATAAAATGATTTCTGATAAACTCTGCAGAATTCATTAAGACATGCAGAGCTGAACATATGGTTGATCTACAATGATTTGATCTGAAGAACAAGAAAAAACCAACAGGGCAGTGTAAGGGTGTTATTTGGGTGATTTTATGCTTCGCTAAAAAAAATAAAAAGCTACACACTCTACAACTATGTGTAATAAGAACAAAGCAGATTAATGCCTTATATTTAGTTTTTAGCATTCTCTCCTCTGCAGATATGTTAGTTCCAAAGAGACATTTATATCCCTGTCTCCATACTTAATTACTTTTCACTAGAAGAGGTTTCTGCTCTTCTTATTGTTAGTCTTGTGATACTGTCTTTCCCTCTTGCCTGTGGGAACCCATCCTGCTGCCCTTTGGTTATAGCACAATTAGTCTATCTAGCATGGAGTTGTTATGTTAATAGGCTCACCACTCCTTGACTGAGGAATGCCTTGTAGTTACCTAAAATCAGACTTAATTTGAGGTAGGATGAGGTAAAATGCAAATAGAAGTATTAACTTATTACATCTAAAACAGTAAACACAGTTACAAGCACACAGAAAAGACATAATAAATAGAAGAAAAAGTGCATCTGATTTACTGACACTGACACCTACTGACAAAGGTGCTTTTTGTTTTGGATTTTTTTTTCTCCTTTGTAGTTTCCAGGTGACTTTTTCCTCTTCTGACAAAATGACACTCAGAATTTTCTTTCCTCCTATTCTTCAGGTTTCTTTTAGGTGATTTTCATCATTGGAAACTCTCATTACACAGAACACCATACTCCATACTCCATTTCCCATCAGAAAGCACCTTCAGAAGAAGCCTTTGGACTTCACCTTAAGGTAGCGTCACCAAATTGTCATGTTGACCTCACTTATTGAGGGCAGTATTAGCTCTTGCACCAGTCTGCACGTTGAAGTTTTGTAAGGTGTCCAGACAGATTTCACCTGTCACCTTGGAGCTTGTTGTATCCCTCCTTATTGTCTGACCATTCTCCTGAATTAAATTAAAGATTTTTTTCCTTTCACAAATATGTATAAGTCTTAGAAGAGGAGTTGTCTCCTGTTTCTAACCGGGTCCTGTACAGCTTCTTTCCCCCAAGGAAGCAAGTCTCCTTCTTTCTGGTGACTAATTGACATGTTTCAACATGAAATATAAGGTCTTATGGTAGACCATATATTCTGTATCAGTAATTTAATGAACAAATAAACATGATACAAGTATCGAAATAGGGTAATTTAATCTAGTTCATTTTCTGATTCCTGGGACAGGTATGATAACAGCTACTTCTCTGAGGTGACAGCATTTAAGATGAATGAAGACCAACCTCTTTCTCCTAAACATACTCTAACAGGGAGTCCCTGTACAGAATTATTTCGTGTCATATTTATTTTAATTGCTACACAGTGTGAAATTGTGTCTTCAAACCATTTCTGAAAAAGAATAAAAATGGAACACTCAATCTTGGACCTTTTGAGACCAATGAACAATCTGACTGACTTCAGCTGGCTTTGAAAACAGCCTCTGATGCATTAGGAGTCAATGGATCGCACAACAAAGTGAGAACTGATGTGCAGTGAAGAAAAGGTTAAAGGCAGAAGATCATCCCATATTTTTTTCTTGTAGCCTTTACAGTGGTCTTATGTGGCCAAGAAAATGTAAAAATATTGGCTAAATGCCATAGTGTGTAAGAATACTGCATTAATTTGAATGAATATTGTAACAGTTTAATCTTGAATACATGTGACTCCAGGTTTGTTCCTAATGTTGTTTACAGGTCAGAGATAGTGAACAGTCATCTCTCTCCTCAGGTCATGCCTACAATAAGAGAGATTTAATAATAATTAGTGGTGTTTGCTGTATGAGTCTGCAGATGTTCTGGTAAAGATATGTGATATAATAATCACCTGTCATCCCTGAAAGGAGAAAGGCTTGTGCACAAGTACAGTTTCAGTGATTTATCTAGTGCTGCCTCTACTGTTGTCTGAGAACACATAGGAAACCAGTTTCCTTTATGGCAGCTGGGCTTTATGTACATGCACACATTGGGTGGCACACAAATAACTTCCAAAATGATCCTATTGTGTCTCTGTAAAAACAAAACAAAATATGAAAAATTGAAAACAATGAAGTGACATCCTCAAGAAATCCAGGCAATGATGGTTTTATTGCCAGCAGGTTCAGAGTGAAAAATTGAAAAGCAGAAAAGGAAGACAGGATTGCTTGGCTTTATTTGATGGTGCAGATTTTATGGGACAGAAAGAGAAGGTCATGTTTGCCAGTAGTTATTGTTTTGCACTTAGTTTTGCATCTTCAAATAAAAGCACACTGATGAAGAGCTTTCTGCTGGGGGAAACAGTAAGATTGCACAGAGGATCTAGATAGCTCTCTCTCCATGAAGTGCAAGGAGACAGAATGAGTGAGCACAGGAGAGGGAATATATCGTGTTGAATGGGCTACCTTGGTCTTCTCTCCTTTCATTTGTGAATATGGAATTACTCCTTTTCTGTTGTCTTCTCTGACGCTTTCTGTCATAGTCAACATTTTGGGGCTCTTAGTCTGCAGCAGCCATAGCAGCAAATACATGCACGCTGCAGCATCTTTGGAGAGAGAGAACAGGGGAATTAATCGAATTAGTAATTAAGTAGTTAGTAGTTAAGATTCTCTGCAGGAATACAGAAAAATTTCTCCTGCTGTGAATACTGATTCATTTGTACGAAGTGGAAAACTTCAGGGCAATAGATGGAAAGAAACTCATCCTGAATGCATCATAGGCTTTGTGGATAGGCCTGTTACAGGTTATAGAGATCTTTGTATTCTCAGATTACAAAGGTTATATAAAAAAATACAACTCTATAATCCTAAATGAAGTTACTGTTACCCAGAGTGAAAGGATAGTTTGCTTGGAAGGAACAACAACTTTTAAAGGTGAAGAAAGGAGAAGTATTTGCTCATACACAGTTCATTGTTTTGAGAAAGGGGGAATTCTGGAATACTTCGAAATTGTCATATGATTTGTCTGTTTGGTTTAATAGTATAATTGTAGTGAGTCTTTTTCATAAAATAATTTTTCCTAATAGGAAAGCCTATTTCTATAGGGCTTAAAAAGTCTTTCTGCTATTGTAAATTCTGTAACAGAATTATGTTATCTTCGTTACATCAGTCATACAAAATCTAACTTGTATTATCTTTTCTTGTTAAAAGAAAGGCAGATTTCCACTTTAGAGATCACGTCATCCTCCTTCCTGTGAAAATAATATGAACCAGAAGGTGTTAGTTTTCCTTCTCCCAAATTTTATATTTGGGATATTTCTTTTTGGATTTTTCTGTAAGAGACAAAAAAACCTAACAGGTGAGTAAATAAATTACCAACAATAAGAATTAATATTTTCTAGAACCAGAGATATCTTTCCCAAATGTGTTAGAAAGTAACTATGGTGCCTAAGTGATAAACAATACAATGAAAATAACCAATGCTCTCTCACTGTGATAGCTGTCTTAGCAATGTGTGAGAGGAAGAGCACTACAAAAAACAGTTGACATTAGAATTGTTAGAACATTAAAATTGCCTAGATTAGTAGTGATAACATGTTGAAAGTTTTCATTTTAATTAACTTTTCACTAAGCAGAGTGGTTTATTGCATGCTTGTCAGAGTGGAGTCTGGTGACAGTAAACAAAAAATTGATTTTAGCACCTTCACTGTTTTTTGTATGGAGAGCGTACAGAGCAATTGAGTGCTATGGTTGTCACAAAGAAAGAGACTTATATAAGCTGTTTTTACAGAAATGGTTTAGATTTCTTCCTTGGTTGCAGGTGCTTTTCCCAATCCTGCTGGAAATTGGCTGGCAATTCAAAATGATCGCAAAAGCACACTGGCTTCTGTCTGCCTGAAGAACAACCTGAATAGATTAAGAAGCAAATTGGATTCTCATGTTGCAAAACAGCTCTTTGTAGAGCACAATCATAAATTTATCTACTGTGAGGTGCCCAAAGTAGGCTGCTCCAACTGGAAGAGAACTATTTTTCTTCTCCAAGCAGGCTTGAATGCGGAAGCTTCTGAAATTGAGCATGATCACATCCACCAAACCTCTCTGATCAAAAAGCTTGTGTCTTACTCTCCTGCCGTACAAGAGGAATTTCTAAACAATTACACTAAAGTGATGTTCACCAGGCATCCCTTGGAACGGCTGGTTTCAGCTTATAGAGACAAACTTCTGCACTCTGAGCCATACTACAGTATCACTGTTGCTAATCGGATTAGGGCAATGTTCAGGAAAAACATAAATTCTTCGGAAAAAGTGAGTTTCCAGGAGTTTGTCAACTTCATTCTAGCAAGCCCACCAAATACTCTTGACATTCACTGGAAACCAATGTTTCTGCTCTGCGATCCTTGCAACATTCACTATGATATTCTGGGTAAGTATGAAACTCTTGGGTTAGACTCTGAGCATGTTCTGAATGTCATTGGGGCACCACAGAGCCTGCACTACCCTAGCTTGAAGAGATATGGCTCAGAGAAACGAACTAATGGTGATATTACCTTGGAGTATCTCAAACAATTGAACTCAGAACAAATTGAGAAGATCAAAAAATTGTATCAGATGGATTTTTTTTTGTTCAACTATACTATGAAATATGAGGATTATTTTTCCCTGAATGACTAATGTAGGTTAAACACAGAACAGTTTCCTTTGTACAAAATGGGCTGAGCTTGTCCTCACAGGTGCTTCGTAGGTGGGTGGGTGATTGACTGCTTCTGAGATTTTCCTGGTGTTTGTAGATATGCTTTGTCATTCCAAGCACTCTTAAAAAAAATCGTTGTCATGACCTGTTGTACCATACAGTACTTCACCTTTTGAAATTTTTGTCTTCCTGTTGATCATTAATGGTATATGTTTGTTTCGTGGAAACATCATAAATGATAGATTTTTGTCCATTGGTAAGAGACATGGGAAGGATGAAGAATGTTGTTTTTCACAATAAACATTTTAGAATTTATATAAATTATGTTTTATTAGAAAAACACATAAAAAGCAATAAACAATATGTTTGAGGGTCAAACCACTCTTTGTCTGCAAGAGCCTTAATCAAGAATCCTGTAAGAAAGGTGCAAATAACTTCAAATGCTTGAAGCTGCATTACACAGAACTTTATGCCTGACAAATTTTCCCTCTAGCAGTGCTCCCATCACAGCCCACCAGCCTCATCTCTCTAGCAGCACAGTTGTCAGAAATCCAGACAGAGTTTCCATTATGTCTCTTAAAAATCTTTTATGAGCAGATCTGGTGTTCATGGTGATTTTACAAATTAATTTCACCTCTTTTGTGGCATTATGGTCTGATTTTAGAGGGAAGGTCTGAAAATGCATCTTTTTTAAAAGAGAATTATCTAGAGGTACCTAAACTGTTACAACTGGTGTGGTGCAGGATCTAAAACCTCAGTGGGAAGGTGACTCCCACTGATTCTCCAAAAGCACTTACCACCCAGTCAACTGACGGACCAGTCAACATGGTGGGAACAGTGTTTGGGCTTTCCCATTTGTGCCCGTTGGAGCCCATGAGCCCTTGGGACTTACCTGAGCATGGCACTTACGTGGAGCTGTTGCTTTCTCACCTCACAGGAGAATGAGTGCAAATAAATTGTGGAATTATGGTGAGGGGAATAATGCAGTATGTGAGAGAAGCAACTCAAACCATTATCCAACCCTGGCGGTGTTCAAGGCCAGGCTGGATGAAGCCTTGAGCAGCCTGATCTAGTGAGGAGGTGTCCCTGCCCATGGCAGGGGGTTGGGACTACATGATCTGTAAGGTCCATTCCAACCCTTAAATTCTATGATTCTATGATTATCCACTTTTTATAACCCTAAAAGATTTTGGTTTTAATCACTGAAGGGGCCTCTAACTACTACTATATCAAATATGTATCGAGTATGAGATTTGCCCCATTTTTTAAAAACATCTATTACCTAGTCACATTGAAAATTAATTTGTGACCATAGTTTTAGAAACTATTCATGACTATTTGCATCACCTTTAGGGGTTGTCAGTCTCTCAGGAGTTAACTTGAAAATCTCTCAAATGCACTTAGTTCCTCTCAGCTATATCTGCAAATTTGCAAAGGCTGGCAGGCTAATCTTGGGCCCAAAGCTGGCTCACAGCTTCTCATTATGTAGGAAAGGGCAGGGACAAAATAATATAATCACACTGTAGCCACCAATCTGTACAGCCTTTGCTGCCAGCACTGTGGCCAAAGGAGAGGAAAAAGGAGACTGTGACAAATAGATGCAATGGGGTTTGAGTTGTGAAGGTTGTGAAGAGATCCTTGCCATTCCAGTGCAAGGAGTGGGATGCAGGTGTTATCTACTTCAGAGGGAAGGTGCAGTGATACATTAGACATCACCTGAAGACAGTGATCAGGCCACAGTGACAGGAAGAGTCTGAGGAAGAAGCTCACTGCATCTCTCCTTAACAGCAGATGGTACATGAGCTAGGACTACCATTCAGTACATCTGGCAGCTCTCACATAGCTGAGTATTTCATATATGGGGCAGCTTTTGCACAGAGAGAGATCCAAAGTGAGAAGACCAAGCAAGAACAGAAAAACAATTTATTTTTTTTTTAAATAGCCTGTGATGTTATGCAGAATGATTCATGATTCTGGCTCTTACCCTCACCACCACCATATTTGTTGTCCCCACAGCTGTACTATCCCCCAATACTGCATTGCTCATGCCACCCTGGCAACCCTGTGGTTCGTGCAGACTTTTTTTTCACTTTTCTAAGTTTGCTGAGGCAGAGGAAGCTGGAAATGATTCCCATCAAAGTTAAGGCTATACAGAAGGATGTGTTCTCTCCATCTTCCCTGAATCAGAGCCATCTCCAACTACATGTCTCCTACTTTATTCGGCAGATCATGCAGAGGCAGAAGGGAATAAGATTTGCTTCATAACTTCCTTCTACATGACAGAACCCTCCAGAGCCATAAGTATATCTAAAAATACTTAATTTTTCTGGCACCATCAACCAGCCTAGGAAAACTCTGAAGAAATGATACTGACAGAGTTTTATAGGTGTCTTTGCTATCAGCACTGTAGTGTTAACACCCCCTCCAGTTTCTTGCTGTTAAGATGTGAGTGGCTTTCTATTCTTATTTCTTCTTTCACATAGGATCACATATTCTTCCTACAGTGGTGACAGAAAAATGAATGTCTAATTCATTCATTACAAGCACTAGTCAGTAGCAGAAGACTATATACTGATGCAGAAAAAGCTCTGTAACTATTCACAACAGACTAAGTTTTGACATTTGCCTACAGGAAACTGTAAGTAGCATGTTGCCTTGAACCACTGGCTGCTGTTTAGCTGGTGTGGGTCTCAACAACAAAAAAAATGTGCAGAGGACATGTGTGTGCATGTGTGCACATGTAACAATGGTTTTAGGAAGCAGTGTCATTCAAGAAAGGTATAAGTTGTGCATTATCAACAGTAACAAAATGAGAATAACAGGTTGATAACTTTTGCAAAATAGAATAAAATTAATTCTTGATATTGTGATGTAATAAAAGTTGATAAAGGCTCTGGGCATTGTCCTAGCCAGCCTACAACAACTGCAAGACACCTGTAAACTTCATGACAAAAATTATAATACGACTGTCTCTTTGTGGCTCTGGGAGAGAAATTTCCTGTACTGTCTTCACTACAAGTGTACTGTCCAGAACAAAACTAAGCTGAGCTGGGCTCCCTCTTGGCTTTGCCTGCAGAAGAACCCCCAGTGGAGCTTCTTTCCTTTGGATACTAACTCTGCGTGATGCTTTCCTGGGAGGGAAATGGGTGCTTGCAGTTGGGAGCAAGGGTGGAGGCAGCATAGAGTGGCTCAGGACTCGGGCCCCAGGGTGGATTTGAAGGGGTAGGGAGTGGCATAATTCATCTTCTGATTGTTGTATGACTGTGTTATGACCTTTGCTATGTTTCATCTCTAATTACCTTAATAAACTGTAGCGAGTTAACACATTAATCTGTTAGTTCATCCTTCTCAATAACATCTGTTTAAAAAAACCCAACCACTTCAGTACTGTTCTATTGAATCATAATACAGGCCCCACACTATTAGATAACAATAAATACAAAGCCACTTTGCTCTGCTTTGCTACATTAATATAAATCTACCTCACAAGTAAGAGTCTCACATGACTTTTAAAGAATTGTAAGAATTAGCAAATATTAATGTGTGCTTCAGTTAGAAGAAAAAATGAAGGTAGATGGGGAAAGGAAGAGAAACAAAAAATCTTGCAAAGTCAAGCTTGCATCTTTCCTACAAATCTAATAGCAGTGAGGAAATAGGAGATATTTTTCCCATTCTAATGGAAATCCACATAAAGGTTCTTTCAGGATAGATATCAACAAACCTGGCATCATACTTTGTTCACGAAAGTATAACAGATCTGATAGTTACTCAGTGTATGTCAGCAATGGAGACCATGTCACCAGTTGTTGCTTGAAGCAGATGTTTCCTTCACTTGAAAATGATAATTCTACCCATAAGCAGTTCTAATATTTTCATACAGTTTTGAATGTGAGCCTTAACAATTAAAGTTTGATTAGTGGCTTCTTGTTCAGAGAACTTCCCAAAGTGGGACAGATGTGAATAGAATAAAAGGTGTAAGCAAGGAAACTTTGAGGGTTCACTGTTCCACAGAAGTGTCTCTGACTAACGGGAAGAAGAGGAAACACCACCCACTCAGGTCATTGTCCATCAAATAAACTGCAGTGTCCACTGCTCACAACTAGAAGCTGATTCCATTTCTGCATTCAGAGTGTTCATAAGTCAAAAGCTTTTATCTCTTTGATCTCCAGATTACATGGGTTATCTGTCATATTGGTATAAAAAGGAAATAAGACGGGTAAAGAATAAGACACCAATGCTCTGTGATTGTGGCATAGGCCTGATGTGATTTCTTCCTGTCACAATGCTTCTTACCTCCCTTCTTTCCAGAATTACAAACTAGGTCATGCTCTAGTTTAAAACAAAAAGTTATTAAACTATATAACTTACATAAATCAATGTAAACCAAATAAAATCAAAAGAGGCAGAGAATTTACCTGATAGAAGTGCCTGAAAGTTCAGGAACTTCCTCTTGGAAGTCCCAAGTGACCGGGTATCAAATGTGCGCAGCCAGGCAGCTACAATGTTGCTTCTAGTAAGAATTATTTTAAAAGAAAAAGCTCAAGTGATCATAAATCCCAGTCAATATACTATGATTCCAAATAAATGAGCACAGCAAAAATGAATGATACATCACAGGATCAGGTCTGTGTAAAGGAACTGGCCCAACCTTGTTTCAGCTCTACCCATGTGCAGCTCGCCCTTGCTCACCACTACTAGAACACTTCCTTTATGCCACCAGGATCTTTCTACTGGCTTCTTCTGCAGATGTACCAAAGCTTAGCAATGTGAACTGGCTTTCTCAAAAGTCCCATCATCCCATCCTCTAGAGACATCCTAACAAGATTATATAGCATTTGTGGTGTCCCACCAAAGGTACAACAGTCCAGCTGTAAACGGAGCTCAGAGCAGAACTTATCATGAGTCCCTAAAGCTAGGTAGACATGTTGTATTTTATATTTCTATGATTTAGCTGAAGTATGGGTAAAGCATATTAACTACAAATCTATGACTAATATCCTGACTCCCATCTCACTTGATTGTATTGTTCCCCACTTTTTCCAAATCCCATCTTCAGTACTCGCCTGAACTGCAAGTATGGACTCCTGCTCAATTCCCAGAGTTAGAGGCCACCAACTGAGTGCTGAAGGTGCTAACTTGTTCTGGCACGAGTTGTGGCCAGGTGTATGTTGCTGGATGTATTGCAGGTATTGTAAGGCTTTTT